CTCTTTATATAATGTTATGAAATTTATTTATAAAAAATAAAATAAAATTTTATAATTTTAATATTTGACAAAAACTTTACTTTTCGATATCTAGAGGGACCTACAATTCCTCCCAGAGACAGGAACAAAGGGTATTCATAAAAAATTTCCTGCTAAGATCCTATATCATCATTAGGAGGAGCAAGGATGGGAGAGGGCCGGAGACCCGTTGTCATCCTCAACTCTTTACTCCCTAATCTACCTTTATTTTATTTTATTTATTTATTTATTTAATTTTACCTTCTTTTCTTAAAAACAAAAGAGAAAACTAACCATAATAAGTTGTAACCTTCTTACTTGTCATAAAGAGGCGAAATATCATTTTAATAAATAATTACATACAAAATAGCTCTGCAAAAAAATATAATTACATTCAAAATGTATCTGATTCGGAGAAGCATAGAAAAAGAAAAACAACAACAACAAAAAATTCCTCTTTGGGAAACAATTGATTAGTAAATCAATGTATAATTTCATGTCACTCGAATGGCCCGATCCCAAACGGCCCCTAAATACGAAACAAACCTATAAATTGGATGGAAACAAGCCTGCAAAGGCTCCTTGAAATACACATTCCAACACAAACACGATGTAGCAGCATCATTCCTCAGCTTCCCCCAGTATTTAGCGAAGCAATTCTCATTCTTCGTAACAAGGATTGCCGCGGATTGAAGATAAGCAGATGCTGCAAACTTGACCAATTCATTCCTAATGGTTATCTTGGACGAGTCGAATTCACTTCCCTCTTGAATTGCAGATTGGCTTGTCGGCGAACTCAAAATAATGTCTCTTAAACTGGTGTACCTAGAATCATCAATATCAGGATCAGTGCCTACAGAAAGTTTTCGTTGCATGTGATCAGAGTCCATGATCATAAAAATCCATGAGATGGTGATGAGGTAGGGAATGTTAGGAAGAAAAAAAAATGACGTGATATATATAGGTTTAGGAGAGATATTGAAGTTAATCAGTCAGATAAGGGTTTCTTCATGACAAAAGGTAGGAGGAGGACAAGGAGGAGGAAAGGATACCCAACTCAATGGGTGAAGTGAAGAGAAAAGGTTTAGGAGTTGTTGTTTTTGGTTTCATGGGAGAGAAAAGATGAGTTCGTTGCAATTTCATGGCATACCCTTGCTTGTAGGACATTGACACGGACAACAAATTGAGTTTTGATGTTTTTGAAGTTTAAGCCCACAAAAATAGAAGGCTGAAGAAACCCACAAAAATAATTTGTGCTCTAATGGAAATATGGACCTAGCTAGAATTTGGGTAAACCCCATTTTTGCCATATATATTATTGGGTCTGTCGCTCTTTGTAAAGCATGGGCCAGAACTGGTCCACTAGATTTTATTTTATTCATTTTTATTAAAATTGGTTTGAACTGATCTTAATCCTAAATCAAGCGAATTAATGTACACCAATCAAATGAAGATTTTCCCAGCTTAATTAGAAGCAATAAGATATGTACCCATGGATTGCAGATTGGAGATATCTTGGAGACCTTTCTCGTCCCGACTTGAGCAATAATTCATAGCTTTTGATGCACTTAGTAGAGACCAAGGTTTGGTTTTCAAAGTTATGAGGATATAGAGCCTGCTTGGTTAGGAGGATATTTTACTAGAAAATATTTTTTTTGGGATAGTGGTTAAGAAAGTATTGTACAAAAAATTAAAAAGTATTGTATAAAAAATTATTAAATTTTGTAATAAAGTGTTGATGGAATTTTGTTAGACTATTATATTTGTTGTGTTTGGTAGAAAATTCATATAAAAAATAGTTAGTAGAAAGAATTGTTAGGTGACCTAAAATAAGAAAAGTTATAAGAAAATTTTTTTTCTTTTAAGATAAATAACAATAATATTTTATAGATTGAAAACTATATTATAAAAAATAAATTCTCAAAATATTATTTTTATCCTTATTTTATTGACATATTAATACCTAAAAACACTGCCGTAAGTGACTTTTTTTTATCAAATTGACCCGATGCTAGAGGAATAGTAAACTTATGTTTCCGAGTCAACCACAAACCAAATTTTTAATGCAGAAAGAATCCAACAATCTAATGAGTGGTAATCTTAAGCTTGCTTTTTAGAAAGTTTCTTCTTCCTACAATAAATGAGAGGGAAAGGAAATATATATATATAAAAGAAACTAAAAAGAAGGCTGTTTGATGAGGACTAGGAATCAGAGAAAGATGTATGCATGTTGAAAAGTATATGGTATCAAACTATCAATGGTAGTGGGGAGTTGGAAAATCCAGAGAAAGATCATTGAGTATTGAAATTAAACTTGTGGGAACATGACAGCATTAAGTAATTAATCTTCTCCCAATCATCATTGCTATAATGATTATTGTTATGATACCGTTGTCATCATCTCATTTGTTGTGACCATAGCACTACCCTATTCACATTTGTGGGCGCAACTGTACAAGAGTAAGTTCAATTTTCAATTAAGTTAATGAGGAGATAGTTTTCTTATATATTTTTTTAGATTTGACATGAATAACTTACTTTTAATCAAATTAAAAAGATAATTTAACATGTTGATACATCAAAATTAACCTATAATATTATCTAATTGTTTTACCAATATATATAATTTACAAAAAAATTGCATCCTTAAAAAAAAAAAGGCAATAATAGAAGGAAGGAAATGAGATGACATAAATGGAATCAACTTAGAATAAGATTTGTAAGGTGATAGTATGGAGAAGGGTCTAATTGAACAAAAGGGGAGATGTGGTCCTTATCTTTATCCAGTGGTATCAAAATGAAAATAAAAAGCTTGCTTCTTTGCATTCCTCTTTTATTTGAGTGCATGTGCTGAGCAAGTTCATTGAAGGAGACGCCATCACGAGAATCAATTTGCTGAAAATTTTTTTTCAATTTTTAAAAGATAGCCGGAAAACACATTTGTTAAAAAAAAATTTGTACCACTTTTGAAAGTGGCAAATTAAAGTTCTGATTTATTTATTTTTCCCATTTTCTTTTTACAGAATTTGCACTCTCTATTCTGTTTTTTAATAAATTTTTTATTTCAATTGTTCAATTTATGAAACACACATTTGACCCAGCTCATTGTAGAGTAAGATAGCAAACTCTGACCTGTCTCCATTAAAAATTTGATTTCAGAGGGGCATGAAAAGCACTTCTTTGATTTCTCTTTTTCTCCCTAGTCTCTTCTTTGCATAAAAAAGAAAAGAAAAATAATTTTTTAATTTGTGTCAATAAAATACATATTAAGAGTATATTAATTTTATTTTTGTATTAATTATTACAAAAAAAATAAAAACTAATTTTTATTTTGTTAATTATTTAATTAAAATCATATACATAATATTAGTGTTAAAAATAAAATTATTTTTTTATTTCTTCATCTAAATTAATAAAAATATATAAACAATTAATGCGAAAAAAACCCCAAAAAATTCATTGTTGTTGCCGTCAATGATAATGAGTTGTCATTATATTGGAAGTTCTTTGGGATAGATGTTGCCTTTGGCTAAGATAGAGACAATACTTAATTTGTGAGAAAAGTCAAGATTCACCAATTGAAATTAAAATTTAAGATCTTAGATGCTATAACTTTTGAAAGTTCAAAGGCGGTCATGCGCACGCCCTTTTGAATTTGCTCAGAAAAGATATCCAGAAATTACTCATAGGAAAAATAATAATAATAAAACTAAGACCCTTGGTGAACTTTTGAACATGGTTGATGGATGGATTCGTTTAGAAAAAGGAGAAGAAGAAACACCAAAAATAAGATATGAACTTTCACCAAATTTAGAATTGAGGGTATGAACTTTAATTGTTTTGAAAATTGACTCCTTTGCATTAATTTCAAAATAAGGACACAATCCTTGTATTAACTGTTGGATAAATAAGGATATAATCATTACATTTTTCCTAGAAATAAGGATACAATCCTTGCATCACAAACATTTCATCTTCGTTTTTTCAACCAAAGTATTAGTTCAACTGCCAAGTTAATGATTACGTTATGAGAAATAAAGTTTTAATTACAGTTTATAACTTTATGTGAAATGTTAATTTTTTGTCCTAGTTATTATCTCTATTTCCAAATATTGTAAAGCCATAATCTACTTATTTCAAAATGACGGAAGTTTGTAGTCTAATTTCTAAAAGAATTTTTTTATTATATATCTTAAAAGTACATATTGATAGTATATTTATTATATTTTTTTTATAATTAATTTATATAAAAAATATAAATGCTAATTTTAATTTAATTAATTACTCCCTTTATTTCGATTTATTGGACGTCTTAGAGATGTACACAAGAATTAAAAAATTTAATTAATTACTCTTGAATTTAGAGATTTTTAATATTAAAATATCATTATACTCTTTCAAAATTGAGTAGTTAAAGAGGGGGGCGGAATTAGTAAAAAAAACCAGTGAGGGTAAATTTAGAACAAAAAAATTAATGCAATCTTGATTTGCTAAAACATCAATTATTTAAGAACAATTTTTTCTCTTCAAAACAACTAATATAGTTAAACAGAGGGAGTAGTAAATTAAAATGATTTATATAGTAATGATGTTAAAATAAAAATTAATTTTTATAATTTCATACATAAAAATTATAAAAAAAATTTATTATATCTTTAATATATTCCCTAATACAAATTAGAAAAACTCTTTCTAAAATTGAAGGAATCTTCATATCCTTGATAGGTTTTACCTAATGAACATGCTTCATGGGAGGGATGGTTCACCTCTCAAAACATGTAAAAAGTTTTTGCGGGATGGACAAAAATGTATGTGTTGCTGTCTGTTATACCCGAATGGAAGTTGACAAATTTGTACAGGTTTCCGTGCCAGGACCACTATGGGACTGTGTGCTTGTGCAAACCAATCAATTTTCAGTCCAAACAATGAAAAAATTCAAGCAGGGTAGGGCAGGATGGGGCCTCGTGTTGGGTATGGATATGGTCACAGTACGTTCCACAAAATCATATCTTTAAGGCCCACAGTTTGTTTAAAGTAAAACTTATTAAATAATTAATAAATATAATATTTAAAAGAATTAATTTATAAATTATTTTTAATAATTAAATTAAATTAAATTCATATATTTACAAATAATATTAACAAATCTATGTCAACTTAATATGTTCTTATGTGGCATTAACCATGCCCTGGTTTCCTATTACAAAACAAAAAGAGAACAAATTAGCAGCAGCTTGGTTGGCCATTGGAGCAATTCTCAAAGCGGCTTTTTCTTTTTTTATTTTTTTTATTTTGCTCCCCCCTAACATGCAGTGCAAGCATTGATTTAGACTACCTAGCACCTACCCTAGCAATCAATGAAATTTAGCGGCTGATATTTTTTGTTAAGAAAA